TCTCTCAGAGATTTGTTTCACTTCCCCTCACATGCCTCCCATCTCCTGTTTCAATTCAGCCAGATCCTTCGCTGTGGCCTCCTGGTTTTTTGTCATAGTTTCCTGTATAGCATATAATAAATTCTGAATTCCTTGGAGCATAGAAGTCTTCTCGGCCACAGCTACCGCTTCTAGAGATTTATGCGGAGTAGGAGGAGTTGTAATTGGAGCCATAGATGCTGTTGATATCGGGAGCTTCTTTCCGGTCTTAGTTGAGGAGCTAGACATTTCTGTTAAACAGAGGAACCTCCTCCAAAGTAACATAAAACTAAGATGAACCCAAAGGTACTAGTTATTGATCTACCCTATCCCAATAATTAATCAGTATTCTAGTCTGTTAGCGAGTTACTTTGCTATTTAGTCAATTATCTACCTTACTTCCTATCCCCCCCCTTCAATACTCTCAAATGATTAATAGTAATTACTCAGTTTAATTTGCTAATCAATTAATCTACTTAATATTAAACCATTTAATTATCTAATTATTGCTCTAGACTTAATCAATACTCTAATCAAATCAATTAGTCCACTTTATATTAATTCTCACCAATAAATTTAACTCCTAATTTTCCAAAACAAATATACCCGCCTCCCACTGTCCTGTTCGATCTCACAGGGCTACCCTTCTCAGGGTACCGTCGGCCAGACAATGACTGCTAGCGACGTCCAGGGGTAGAGTGTTCTCCGTGGGTGCCCCTGTCCTTTGGAATGAGTTACCCACTGAGCTTCGGATGGCACCTGATCTCCTCTCCTTCCGTCGGGACTTAAAGACCTGGTTGTTTCAACAAATGGGTTGACCTTGACAAATGGGTTTTTCTTATTTTGATTGTCATTGTTTTAACTGGGTTTTAATCATTTTGATCTTTTATTATTGTATGTTTTTAACTTGTGTTCGCCGCCCTGAGTCCTTAGGGAGAAGGGCGGCATATAAATTTTTGGTAAATAAATAAATAAAATAAATAAATACCCCAACAAATTACTTATAATTTCAATCAGTCCATTAATAAGATGATCTAAGAATTAATAGAGATAGCAAAGCTACTCGTAACAAGGGGGTTCGAAAGAGGAAGCACAATTCGGCTATATTATTCCAGTTCTCCTGTCGTGCAGGTATCAAGTATGATTCTCCATAGCAATCACGTTAAAATGTCTTAGTCACCACCGAGTCCACATCCAAGTCAGGGGAAAGGTTGATAGGAGTAGCTCTTCCAGCACTTACCAGCTAATTTTCAAATCACTTTTAAAAAGCGCAGCAGTAATAAAGTAGGGGGTAGAGTCTATGAAAGTTCCAACTACACCCAAAAATTGAGAGGAAACAGCGCCCATCTGACCCGACAGGCCACTCAGTACCTGATCTCTCCGATCCTCCAATATTGCCTCTAAGTTACTCATGAAACCAATCTGCCGCTTCCAGCCAAAAATCAGCCTTGCGCCCCCCGAATCTTCAGCGTTAATCCTGAGGGGACAATCCGTTCCTTTCTCGCAATCCAATCTATTTATTTCACCGCCAGTGCTGCTTCTGCTCCATTCCCCCCAAAGCACTCTGTCATGGCAATGGGGCCTCTGCCCTCTCTGCAGGGTCCTTTTCTCTCACCAGAGATCAGGATCGTCCTTCACTTCCTCGGGAGTTCGCACTACTCCCGGCAAGCCCGGACCTTCATCCTTCTTTGCCGATCGCTCCATGATCAACAACGGCTCCTTTAACTGCTTGGCAAAGAGAAACAAAAGTTTCGCATCTCAGGAAAACTTTCCCTATCGTTCCACTCGCCTATGATGTCACGCCAGAAGTCCCCTGTTGTAGTTCTTATAATAACTTCTTATTCATTATAAAATTTCTTCAGAAAAAAAAGTATCTATCTATCTATCTATCTATCTAGGGGTGGGATTCAAAATTTTTAGCAACTGGTTCTCTGCCCGGTTGCTGGGTGGGCGTGGCCATGGTGGATGTGGCCTACTCAGCCTCCTGCAGCACAGTGGGGTGTTTTCACCCTCCCCAGGCTCCGGAGGCTTTCCTTGAGCCTCTGGGAGGGTGAAAACGGCCTCCCCTGGGCTCCAGAGGCCCTCCGGAGCCCGGAAAAAGGCCCCTTTCTGATTTCCAGAACTTCCAGGAGCCCAGTTTTTTGCCTTCCCCAGGCTCCAGAGGCTTTCCTCAAGCCTCCAGGAGGGAAAAAACAGCCTCCTCTGGGCTCCGGAGGCCGGAAATGGGGGCCCATTTCTTGACTTCTGGAACTTCCTGGAGGCCTGTTTTTCATCCTCCCAGAGCCTCTGTGCAGGCCCTGCACTTACCTGGCATCCAAAACAGGCCACGTGGAGACTCCTGGGTGGGACAGGGCGGGGTGGGCGGGGTGGGGCCAGCCAGTCCTTGCAACTACCAGTTTGGCAAACCAGATGTAATAGTAGCATCCAGTTCGCCCGAACCTGCCCGAACCAGCTGAATCCCACCCGTCTGTCTGTCTGTCTGTCTGTCTGTCTGTCTGTCTGTCTATCTATCTATCTATCTATCTATCTCATCATCTAGCTGAACTCTTCCCATAACCTTTAATTGGGAAAAGCAGTACATCATAGGGCAACAATTTCTGAAGGAAACTATCTTAAATGAGCCACGGCCGTACTGCAGACTACTTCTGCTGACTGCCAGTTGCCTGCAATTTAGCGGTTCAAATCTCATCAGGCTCAAGGTTGACTCAGCCTTCAAACCTTCTAAGGTGGGTAAAGTGACCCAAATTGTTGGGGGCAGTATGCTGGCTCTGTAAACCGCTTAGAGAGGGCTGTAAAGCACTGTAAAGCGGTATATAAGTCTAAGTGCTATTGCTATTGCTAAATGGTCTGAACTTACAGAGTGTGTCCAGAATCCAGGACCCATGAATTACAAGGAAATGAAATTTGGGGAAATTGTGATTGCTTCTGTATTCTTGGGCTGCTGCTGTGGTCTCATGATGCTCATTTTGAATGTTCTTTGACAGCTTCCAAATGATTTGCAATTTCTTGCTCCCTGCTCCACCCAGCAGTTGCCTGCAGTGAAGGGAAGGAGAGAAAGGAATAGAAAGAGGAGGGAGAAACAGGGAGAATGGGATCCCCATGCACTTTTCCCAATCTATACCACCCTCCACATGCTCCCTCAACCCATATCCCTTATGGCACCCCCACCACTCCTGTGCATCATCCATGACTTGAACAGCATCTCTCATATACTCTTACACACCCAGGCACCCTACCTAATACACACCATTCCTCCACAAATTTCTTGACCTGTCACAGACATTTACACCCTTCCTAACTCTTGTTGCCCCTCCCCCAACGCACTGTCCCTGACCCTTGTGCACATGTGGCCACTCTTCTTGTCCTGTGTGGCACTTCTCATGCATCCGCACATACCATTTCCAACCCAATGTCTTGCTCCTTCCCCCATCTGGCAGTAACCACTTATCTGTCTGCTGGCCTTAGCCTTGCAATTTCCTGCTGACTTCCCCATTGACTTTCTCTCTACAAGTTTACCACAAGAAAAGTAAATGGTGAAGCTGGCAGGAACTAGAAGGAGGGAGGGAGGGAGGGAGGGAGGGAGGGAGGGAGGAAGGAAGGAAGGAAGGAAGGAAGGAAGGAAGGAAGGAAGGAAGGAAGGAAGGAAGCTTTCTAATACTCACTGCCAGTTCAATGGGGAAGTTTATAGATCATTGGAAGTTACTCCCGCTCTCACTGCTTTTTTCCTACCTGTGGTCATTTTGTTCCTTCTGTTTGGTAAGGAAATATCTCTGAAACAATGATCCAGCAGGTCACCAGTTGCTAGTTAATGTGTTCCATATTCTACCTGATATATGCAGTCAAAACATCTTCTTTGAAAGATCTTAAGCAAATGGATTTATTTTATTTTATTTGTTATACTACGGTACCAGCCATTGAACTTAGTTTATAGTAAAAACTGTAATGGTTCCGTATGTAATGCTTTGATAACATTGTTATATGTACCGGTCTTTTCCAATCTCTAGGCCATATGGTTTTGTTTCATATTTGATGACACAGAACTGTTAGCACTTTAACTGCCCTTTCCCTTTTAACTTTAAATACTTCAGTGTGTATTTTATTTGAACCTGGCTGTTTACTGTTTGACAGCTGGTCCATTGCATTTCTTATATCCCTTCCTAGTGGAGTTGCCCCTGAATATATACTCATTCTACAAATATTAAGATCCTTATGTTTATTAAACCCTTCTGTAAAGAGATAAGGGAATTCTTACAAATGTGCAGGTGAAGCATATGGGTGGGATAGCTACTGCTCCAGAATACTGAACAAATTTTATAGGAATCTTGATAGTTTAGAAAAATAAGGTGAAAATAATAGAATGAAATTTAAATTTCTTCAGTTAGAAAAAAGAAATGAAATGCAGAAATACAAGTACAAGATGGGGAATAACTAGCTTGACAATTGCAGGTATAAAAGGGTAATATAGGCCACCATCTCTTCAGTCAGAAGGGGTCTCATTGCAAAGGTTTGACTTATGGATGGGCCTGTCACTTTCTAAAGCTGTTCTCCCACTCACCCTATTGCATTTCTTTATGCAATTGTGCACCAGTGGTTTTAAAAAACAATCTGGCATGGCTGCCAGGATACAGCCACTTAAAGTATGATGAAACTACATAAAAGGAAATCAGATTGGAACTTTGAATCTGAACAGACATAATAGAACTGCTCATTTCATAAAGTTCATAATGTAGAAAATGCATACTTTTCCAGGAACTAATATGTATTGATGAATTTGTTTATCTAAGTAATATTAATATCAGAGAAGTTAGTCTACTTATTGGGGGGGGATGTCTTTGTATATATATTAAGAATAAGCTTTGATACAAATTATGTGAAGAAATCAAGACAGTATATACATAATATCAATAAATAAAAATGTTTTTTTTCCCCATTTTGCTTCTATTGTACTTTTCTTATATTTGATTTGCTTTGTTTCTTCTTAGATCTCAGAATGGAGATGAAAATGGAACTTGGCCAAACAATCAGTTTGATACTGAAATGCTTCAGGCTATGATTTTAGCATCAGCCAATGGTCAGTTTCCACAAATAACCTATCCTATTTTTGTACTGCATTCCCATCCCTCATCACAACCCTTTAAAATTAGTATAAAATGTACTGCAAAAGATTTGTGTTTGATGGCAAGAAAGCTTAAGTGTCTTTTATGTTAAACTAGTCAATAGTCACTGCCTATTATAAAAAATATTATATTAAATATATTCATGGAATGAGATTGGATAGTTTGGAACCGTATGTAAGTCTGAGAAATCTTTTTGTGCTTTAATTGTACTGTAAAATAGATAACACTATGAATATTGAAATTTAAGTTATAAATTGGTACAGGTAGTCCTTTACTTATGACCAATATGGAGCCCAAAATTTCTATTACAAAGTTAGACATTTGGTAAGTGAGTTTTGCCCCATTTTACAACCTTTCTTGCCACAGTTGTTAAGCAAAATCAGTATAGTTATTAAATTAATAACATGGTTGTTAAGTGAATATGGTTTCCCCATTGACTTTGCTTCTCAGAAGGTCACAAAAAGTGATCATATGACCCTGGGACACAGTAAGCATCCTAAATATGAGTCAGTTGGCCAAGCATCTAAATTTTGCTCACATAACCATTGGGATTCTGCAGTAGTTGTAAGTGTGAAAAACATTCATAAGTCACTTTTTTCAATGCCATTGTAACACTAAATGATGTAAGTCAAGGACTACCTGTATATGATACCAGAACTTACTAATTCCTGTATTATTTTCTTCTTTTACATTCTTGGAATACTTACCAATTCTGGATATAAAAGTTTTCATGCTTTCTGATAAATTTTGTTTCATGATTTGGTTCTCTGTATGTATATTAACTATTCCATAAACTGAAATAAGATATTGAATGAATTTGTAACATGCATAATAAAAAATACAGTGCTCAAATACTCTGTTCTCATATTTCAGTGGGAGGGATTTTTAAAGAATGTGAAATTAGTTTATTTTACTCTTAAAATGAAGTGAATCAGGCAGCATATAAATTTAAATAATGATAACAATAATAAGATAAAGAAAAAAGTTTGGGTAAAAGTCTGGATAACTGGGTGCAATTACAAAAATTTCTGGAACATCACTTCAACACCATCAGCATTGACAAAATCACTATCAGTCTATTGCATAAAGCAGCTTTACTTGGAACAGTTTGCATTCTGCAGTGATATCTTTAACAACCATCAAACAATATCAACCTATCCCAGCTCCTTGAGAAGAATTTGATAGCCAAATGCAGTCTGATGTTTTCTATCTGACTGTGCAACCAACCATAAGTATAACAGATTTCTCAGAGAGAATTTAGGTACATATTATAGACGTACTTCAGCAGCCAAAACATTATTTCATATGGTCTGTCCTATTACTTCACTTGGGCTTGAAAGTCTAGCATTAATAGCAGAACTTCAGACCTATTGTTGTGGATTAAGGATTTATAAATTGTGCCAAGCTGAATTCCACAGTATTTCAAACTTATTAAGATATGGAGCATTGTGATATTTTGTGAATGTTGATAGCCAAAATAATTATTATACAATACTGAAGGAAAAAAATCTGCATTTAATTCAATGCTTGAATTAAATTTTTGTTTTGAATAAAGGGTGAAGGAAGAGGTCTTTCAAGATGTTCAAAATTATTGCAAGGTTTTAAAACATGGTAAATCTGGGTGTTGTTATTATTGTTGTTTTAAGTTTGTTGATTTTGTTTTAATCTTTTTAAACAGTAAATCTATATGTGCAGATTATGTCAACCCTATATATATTTTGGAAGCTCCAGAGACTGGAATACATAATTATTGGAGAGGCAATATACTTCTCTCATCAGAGGAACTAATAATATAGGATTTTTTTCAGGGAATTCAGGCAATTGTTCTTCATGTTTCAAGCAGATATTAGAAATTTATTTAGATATGCTTGTATAATCTAACCTTTTCTAAAACATATTCCTCTTGAATTGCAGGGAAGAGAAAATTTTCTTTTCAGTCAAATCTGCATATACATGACATTATTCAAGTATTACTTTAAAACCTATTTTTTCCTCTCTTCCTATCCTAATACTCTTGCAGAAGCTGCTGCTGCCGCTGCAGCTAATCCAGATGGAAATTCTACTCTGGGAGGAGGAGCAACAGCAGGTACCATGGGGCTCAGCACCAGGTATGGCCCCCAATTCACCCTTCAACATGTTCCTGATTATAGACAGAACGTGTATATCCCTGGGAGCACTGCTACCCTCTCCAATTCCGCTGGCAAACGTGATGGAAAACCAGCAGCCTCTGGAGGGGGAAATAAGAAGAAGTCAGGAAAGAAAGAGAAGAAGTAGGACCCACAGGATAACACAACCACTTCCACGTAAATCTAAAGGGCAGACTCTTCCAGCACTCCCCCAGTTCATAGCCTAGGATGGAAGATGAATGTGAATTTGTGGTTAAAATTTTTTTAAAATATGGAACATTGTGAATGTACATTGTTGTTGTCATCTAAGTTTATGAGTAGATGTACTGCTGTTATTCATGAAGAAAAATATCTGAATAATAACAAATACAGTGTATACTCTTTTGAGGATAGTGTAATATGCAAGGGTGTCAGATCTTTGAAACATTTTCTTTCCTGAAGATCTGCATCACCAACAAAATTTAGGATGGGCTCTGCTCATTGTAAATAATTATTCTGAACAGAGTTTTTTATTTATATAAGTTCCTCCATTTTTACAAAAATTCTCACTTTTCCAAATTTTGATAGAAGTTCTTGGGGGGGAGGGTTAGACATCATTTCAGCTGGAATCCTTGTTATGATATTGATAGGGAGTGCTTTAATTCCTGCTTTGTTTTAAAAGAAATGTGTATCCTGTATTATTATAAGAGAATGAGATTCAGCTACATTTATCTTTTTTACAAGTTTAACCAATGATGGCCAGAAAAAAATTAAACTGATATTGTAATTTCTAAGAAGCAAGGAGTGCATTGCAATGGGAAAATTTTCACGCACAGAACATGTCTTAGATATAAGCAAAACAGAGAACACTGCCACTCATGACTGATTTACAGTGATCTCTAAAGAGGCAACACATCTCATCATAGTATATATGTACTAAATGTTTTCTAGAAAAAGTTGAAGAAAAAAGTCATTCACTTGTGAGCATAGTGAACTACTGCTCCTTTGCTTGACTCCTGAGGGAGATGTCTTTGTTAACTGGATGAGCTCTGCTGATCTTATAGGTAGAACATTAAAAATAGAATGCTTCACATTTTTCTGCACATTAAACTGCATGCAAATCACTTCACATTTACAGGACAGCTGACTTCACACCCAAGTTTGAATTGGGAAATTTATTGCATGACATGAACAGCATGTTAATATGCTCTCAAGTGCCCACATCAGCACTGTCTATGAGTAAAGTTCACAAACAAGATGCATTGCCCTTCCTCAGAGAGATTGGGAAGCTTGTGTATTTCATTTCTCTGTGCAGTATAGCCAAAAAATAATGTTGGTTTTTTGGTCTTCACAATTTGATATTAAATAGAAAGTGACTGATTTGGGACAGCTAAGGGACCAGGTCCAATTAAGGTATACTGGAATTAGAACTGAACAAATTGCAAAGCCAATCACTTTATTCCTGAACTTTTATAAATATTAAACAAATGACATTGTATTGATGCAATCAGGCAATTTGAGACTCCTACCACTAACTCTTCTTGGATATGAATAGACCTTAAAATATTAAAAATACAATTTGTGTTACTGTTTTGAAATTGCTAGATTTACTCTCTTAACTGCATCATTTCATAGCCTAGTATGGAAAAGAAGTAGGATTTCCTAACTCTGGCCCATTTGATAATGTAATGGCACTCTGAATCAGGTGCGAAATTGTAATGTTACTTGGCAACATTGGTTGTCTTTCTAGATATATTGTAGGTTTCCTGTACTATCTCATGGTTTTCTTTATTGCAACAAAAGAGCCATAAAGAATCAGAGGAGCATATTTCCAACATGGAGGGCGAACCACTTAGTCCAAGAACTTTTTTTACATTGTAATAAATAGCTTGCTTGAAATAGTCAGAACAGGTCAGTCTATGACAAGTTTCCGAAGTTGCCTCCCAAACTGATTGGCTATGTTGTTGTCACTGCTAAGAGCATTTTATGAACTATTTGATGCTTTCCCTGTGTCTAGAAAGTAGGACTTGTCTACAAGACGTTTTTATCTACATATGGATTTTATAGTGATCCCAAACCCTTCTCCATCAACTTTTTCTTTGGTGACTGCATTAGAAACAGTTTACATAGTTAGCGAAATAGACAACAAACTAGTGGGATGTTCTGTAGCATGAGCCACATTTAAATGAATGAGAGCACAATAGTTTTCTTGTCACACAGCTCCCATTTATCTCAATGCAGTTTGTGCAGGTACACCTCTGCTGTGTTGTGCCTAAAGCTTCTTATGTAATCAAGTAGTTAACATGTGACCTTTCCCAAAGTACTGTAGATGAATCTTAGTTAATCTTGTTTATTTTTTCATCTACACCTGAAAATAGTGTAGCAGTGTGTAGTGATGTGTGTTTTTTATTTGTTTAATCTTAGTAATTGAGTAGTGGACATCAGTATTTTATATTCTTTTGGATCTTCTTCATGTGTGTTCATTGTGCTTTTAACTGTATGTGAATTGAAACACACTTACTTGTCCCTCCAATGTGTCTAATATTGAGCTATACTTATATATTATATATATGCTTATATTCTTCTTATATCCATGTAACTGATATTGATGTGTTAACACGCAAGTTTTATACTCTAATATTTATATTGCTTTTTTCTTTGAGAAAAATAAAATCTTTCTTCTGATGTGCTGTTACTGGTATGGCATGTTTCTAGTGAACAGGGTTTGAGTTTTAAAAATCTGAAAAAATATGTGGGTGCAAGCACACTGAAAAAAGAGAGTGTAGACTTTTATAATGCCACTCTTCTAAAAATGTCATATTTAGACATAGAAAAAGAAATGTGTTCTATAAGTTAACATTCTATTCTTCGGGCAAAAGATTCTGGACACACAGCCCAGATATGGACAAAAAAATTAAGCAATGACAGATAAACAATGGCAACTATCACATGAATGTCAAGTTAGGCAACTTTACTATGGGCCCCAGACCAGACAATATAGAACAAATATATGACGCAAAATAAAAAGGCCTGTAATTGTGCCTAGTCTAATTTGCATTGGGCAATACATAAATCCTACAGTTACAAATTTAGCAATGGCAAGAGTTGTTTTAGGACCCTTATCCAGCAAAAGAAGCTGAACATTAGATTATTCTGTCTATCCAGGCAATGGGTTAAAAAGAGTACCTCATCAAAAATTTATTGGTGTAAATTAAAATAAAGCAAAACATGAGCCTGTCTTCACAATCCCATGCTACATCAAGGTTTTTTGGAATTTACTCTCCAGCATTGTTGATAGCAAGATACTTAGTTCCAATTGTGTGAAAGTTCTACAAAATTTTTAATTTGTAGTTTGGTCAAGATACAATGCTAGTTTCGAATTTGAAAAAAAGGATAAATGTCCCTGCTATGTTCTGGGTAAGAGTTTACTATATTGCATTTGTAATTCTGTATTGAGAATCCTTTGAGAATTACAGTAGCCTATTCTAGTCTCCAGGAATCCTGTGGTACAAGGTGCAGATAGAGAATCTACTCTATTTAAGGTGCCAATAGCTGTCACTTAAAAAAAAATCTCAGAAACCACATAATTAACTCGTTTTTTTGAAATCAGTGTTCCTTACAAAAACGGGTCAATAATCTCACAACTCTTCTAAGCCTTGTTAATATCTGCAGCCTCACAGCAGCATCTGCATAAAATAGTATAGCTATTAGTCAACTTACCATTGTGAGGGTGAATGGGGTAGAAGTGTTTCTGATATAAGTATTCTAGCAATACATTGTGAAAAGCCACCCAGTTACCCTGTGATAAAATGGGCAGTCAATAAATTAGATAAATAAAATAAAGTTGACTAAATGTCTCTGTGATTCATGACATTTCATCCAAGGTTGTATTACTGGTGATAATAATGTAACTAATCCTCCAGCAAGTGTGAATCTTGAAAGGCTGGAATATGCTGAATCAGGTCTTTTTTTACTGTTTATCAATGTGACTAGCTAAGAAATTGGTATTCCAGCCCATTTTCCAAAATGCATATTTAGTTAGCAACAGTTTGTACTTACCATTGAAATTTTGGGCTCTGACTGCCCCAGTCCTCCGTGGACCTCCATGGCTAAAGAATGCAGTGTTTGGGGCACTTGGACATGATGTGACAGGCTGTTTTTAACTCTGTCCCATTTGTTCTGGGTGCCGAAGAATTAGTAAAAATTAAATACTAAAAGGGTCATGTTCTTAAATATTATGTTTCTCTAATACATCCATTGTTTGCTATTCATTCTCACAATTCTGGGAAGCTTGCAGGAAATACAATAAACTATTAAACTGGTCCTAAAACCAATAATTACAGTTAAAAAATATTTAATGCAAAATTAATTAAAAAACTGCTGCTACTATCAGGCACATCTGAATGATCTCAGAAGGATGATTATCCTCATTTTGCAAAATACCAAGACAAACATCTGATCTCAGCATGGGGGCAAACTGTTACAGAGAGAGGGGGCTTTTACCGAATCTAGGAAAATATCATGATTGTGCACTAACTTCTTCGGGAAAACACTATTTCATCAAGTGTTACAGATGCAATATCCATGGTACCAGAATGTTTCTGAACCAACACAATTTTTCTGAGATTTTAATTGCCCTTTGTTAACTCATCAAATCTCTTACCAATTCCAGGCACCAGATCAGGATTTCCAGATATGTTCTTCTTGAGATGGTAAACTAGGAATTATATTGTTGATACCTAATCCCAAAAGTATTGGCCAAGGACCTCTCCCAATGTTTCCATGTAGATGCTAAATAAAGTAGGAAAGGAGGACAAACTCTGAGGTATTGCACATTGAATTGGCAAATGTCATAACTGCCAGTTCAGGAAGAAATGGAAACACTGCAAAACAGTGCCCACAATCCCACACCCTCACTGACAGCCTATATTGTGGTAGAGGGTAGCAAACGAGCACTGAAAGATTTAGCAGGTCGAGATTCACAAGTCATCCAATACTGTAACCAGTGGGGTCTCCATCCCATATCTGTGTATATTCTCAATCATCCAGGTCCAATTGCCTTTTGGGAAAAAACATCTTTGGTGATCTCCATCCCAAGCTCATGCCTTAAACTATCCAGAACCCTCTGTAGTTCAAGTCCTATAGTTTTTGTAAATTAGAGACTGGATTATAATTCTCTAGACTGGATCCAGGGGTAGCTTTTTAAGGAGGGAGCATGCCCTGCCTCATGTAAGGTTGGCAGTATTAACCTCACCAAGGATCAAGTGATCACCTCCTGGATCTATGCAATCTCTGCCTCTTTCAGTACTTGTAGTAGCCAGGAGGGACTACGTTCCAGATGGCTGAGCTCAGTCTAGAACAATATCTTACCCACCCACACCCACCCCACACACACTCTACCTTGGAGTGAATGAGTGATTTATACTGCTTGGAGCTTCTCACACATCTTTTATGTGTGCAAAATCCTATGCATTCTATGAAAAGATGCCTAATATCCTTTTTAATAATCAAATTGATTGCAATTCTATATTTTAAAAAAAGAAAAAGGACTAAGTGCAGGAGTACTGTACTAAAAGGCAGGTAGGACTAGTGAAATAAAACAAATTAGGGATCATCTCTAAATCACAAAAAGTTCATACAAGTAAAAAATATCTGTTGTTTTAACGATCAGAAAATGAAAATATTGGTTTGCACAGTGTTTTATACAAAACATTCAAAGAATGCATTAAGGCTGCAATGGAGACTAATTTCTGGTCCCAAGAAATTAGATGGAGGGAAAACTCTTCCAGTTGCCACAGCAGCCCATGGATGAAAAAAGGACCCCAATTACACACTGCAGTACAGTAACCACAGTACTGTTCATAAAGGCACCTGGAAAATCCTTCCACACCTCAAGAATCCAGGTATTATAATGACCTCTCTGCCTTCCAAAGCACACAGTATCGCTCCATTTTTCTTCCCAACTGACCTAACAAAACATCTAAAGGAAAAAGAAGGCACAAAGGGCACTAAAATGGTTCACGGATATACCTGGGAACCTTCTTCCCACTTGGTTCCCGCAGATGAAATATATTTGGAAAGAAGCAGGGACAAATCCCCAACCCGCCCACCTCCCCCAGGTTCAAGCTTCAGCAGGTGCATACCGATATTTTACAACATTGTTCGAAGGAGGGAGGAGGCAGATCTCTATTCAAGGAAGAACATGTCCCTCCAGTGCGTGTAGCTTCCCTACCGCCTCGCTGGGGGAAATGCAGATTACAACTCCTTTACCGGATACGCTTTGTGAAAGCAACCCCTTCCTTTTGCCTCAGATGCCAGCAAGATGCAATCTTTCAGGCTTGAGGAGGAGGAGCAGGGAGGGAGGGAATGAGAAGAAGGTCCCTTCTCTCAATTGGAAACCATTATCACCTTCCCGTGACACTTTTGTACATGTGCAGAAGAGTGTGCCAAAAGCGACTTGCCATTAATGCCCCCATCAAAGAAGCAATGGAAAATTTGCTTTTCCCCTCCCCACCAGCTCCCTCAGTTCATGACAAGATTTCCTATTGGGTGTTGCGATGATTGTGTTCCCTGTGAGGAGCTGAAGTGGGGGGAGTGGGCATGGATAAAGATGTGGGTGGACTGGAGAGCCTTTAAAGGAAACGATTTGGAATGTCAATTAAAATACTTGTAGCACCAGTAAGAAGGCACACAGAATGGTCATTTGAATCACAGAATTTGTCATAAGTTTGTTTATTAGTGTCATGTTGGAAGAAAAATCAGGTCTAGCTCCAGAGTTAAATAGAGAAATCGATTGGTGGATTTTCACACAGATCCAATCCAAATACAAGGAACACATAAAAACATATGAAATCCACAGAGAGAAACAAGAACTAGATAAAATTATATTAGACTCACAAGAGAAATTAATTAGTAAAATCTATAATTTTCTATTGCGATATAAGATGGAGGAGGAAACAGTAAAGGATACAATGATTAAATGGATGCAAAATTTTAAATATACAATAGATTTGGAGAAGTGGGAGGAATTATAGCAAATGAATACAAAATTAACACTAGCGGTGGCATACAAGGAGAACCAGCTGAAGATGTTTTATAGGTGGCATATGTTGCCCACAAGATTGGCAAAAATTCATTCAAAGAATAGTTCATTATGCTGGAAATGCAAAAAATCGCAGGGTACCTTTTACCATCTATGGTGGACGTGCCCGGCAGCAAAGAAATTTTGGTCTAACATCAAGAAATGGTTGGAACAAATAACAAAATTACAAATAGAGATGAAACCAGAAACTTTCCTGCTAGGAATCTTCACAAAAACATATCCTAAAGATATAAAATACCTGATAATACATATTCTAATGGCAGCTCGAATAACATACGCAAAGAACTGGAAACAAGAAAAAATCCCAACGGAAGAAGAGTTAACAGGTAAAATCGCACAGTATGCTGAAATGGTTAGACTAACAAAAGAGATTAAGGAAAAAGAAGAGACAGAGTACTATAGAATATGGGACAAATGGTACCTATGGTATAACGTCGCTAATAAAGATATATAGGTGCAAGAAAAATAGAATAAAGATATAAATAGATATATTAATAATTTTCTATGGGCAAGTAAACATGAACAGGGGTTTCAAAACAAAAGTATAATTCAAATATAAAGATTGTTAAGAAATCCTAAGGGGAGGGGGGAAAAAAGAGGAGGGGGAGAAAAGAGAATGGGAAAAACTACTAGGCTAAACATAAGGGGGAAATCACAACTATATTAATTGAAGAACCACTACGAAATATTGCTTTAAGAAGAAAATTTACTTATACGTTGTATGTTTTGTAAATGTTTTTATATGTGTTTTATATGTGTTTTAATAAAGTTTATAAATTAAAAAAATAATAAAAAAAATCAGGTCTAGCTCCAAGCAGGGAGAAAGATAAATAAATAAAATAAATAAATAAATAAATAAAGATGCTGGAAATAAAATAGAGGCTGGCTGTAAGGAGAGAAAGTCTCAGTTTATTTGGATGCCGGAAACTTTAGTGACAGCAGCATGTTTCTGGGGTGGCTGACAAAATGGGGTTGGAATAAGTGGGCTTTTATACATTATTTGGGCTTTGTGGTTGAGATGCCTGTTCCTATGTAAGAATGTATCCTTTAATATTTTAATGGCTGTTGCCAGATTCCTATGTGATCATAGGGATCATGTAGGGGTCATGCCTGGCTCTTCAGGCAAAAGGGGAAATGCAAATCCTAGGTGTTTGTCTGAGCTAATCTTGTCAGCTTGCCTAATTGTGTTACTTATTTGGAATCTCTTTGCTGTATCCATTCAGTCTTTCTGAATGAACACAAAATCTTCATTCCATAAGACCAGCCTCTTCAAGCTTCTGCTTGAAGCTGTTTTCCTATGGCAGGGAGACGGGGGCTGCTTTCTGCCTTCAAGAACATGTTTCTCCATTTCTCCTTTGGGGAAATATAACATTCTGCCTCTTTTAATGTTCCCCAAAATATTTAATTGGGTGGGGGGAGGCTTCCCATAGTCAGAATAATCACAATTAAAATAAGGCATACTACATGACATAAAATTTAAAATTTTAATTACAAGATTTAAATATGTACAAATTAAATAGATCTTGCCCAGAAACTAGCAACATTAATCACATTCTGTCGTGCTGCTGTAGGAAGTTAGCACCCACCCCTTTCCTAGGAAAATGAAATATTCTAGGAAATATTAAAAAGCCAGAATATTATATTTTCCTTAAAGGGGAAACATATTTCTAAAGACAAACTCAGAGCCTCAGCTCCCTGCCCCCCCCCAAGCACATATTTTGGTGCCAACCTATCGACAAGAAAAAGGCTGGGCCATCTTATCTACAACACAAAAGACATGGTCTTCAGGACATGATAGGATTAGCCCTCACTCAAGATCCAAACCAGGACAAAGCCATTAAGCCATAATAGGAATTGCCCAAAGCCCCTTCATTACATCATCACCCAGCAAGATTCAACCAAGCCTGGGACTCAAGATAAAGTTACCCCTGCATGGCCCCATGGGAGTCTGACAACCAATCAGAGTACATTTCTTACACAGGAACAGGAAGCTCCAAGGTGGGGCCCAAGAGAGGATATAAATCTCTCTCCCTCTCTCACCCATGTGCTCTTTTTTGCCCAGGACCTCAAACCATGTGGTCCTGTCCATCATTAAGCAGTCTCCATGTTTCCAGTATCTTTCTCCCCACTTGGAACTGAACCCAGATGGACATTTCTTCCAACACTGCCATTTGGTTTTCAAATGTTAACTGATTGAGTACAAATCATATATGTTGTCTACATGTAAAAAATAATAATTGTGTGCACCCCATGAAGCCATCAGGAGGCCATACTGAAATGAAGACCCACCCCCAAAATCCAACAACAAGCATGTAACAAAAATTGATATGTGAGCTGCATGTGCTATGCACACAAACTGCAATCAACCATGTTGTCTATGAGAGCTTTCCAACTATTGGAATAATTTCTGTGGATGACCTTGCCCCTCCCCAATAGCAGGATTAGCACCAGTCCGATTTGTAAGATTTATATCCACCCTCCCTTAAACAAAAGCAGCTCTGCTAGTCATGTATTCCGTTCACCGGAAGTACAAAGGTAGGCAAAATCTGGGCAGAATTCCTGTTTCTGTTCCAGTTCTGAAACAGCAGCATTTACTCTGGTTCCTTTAGCACAGGCTTGTCAAACTCAAGGCCTGCGAGCTGGATCCCGCCTGCGGGGTGCTTAGATATGGCCCGCGGGGCCCAGGGGTGGGTTCTAAATTTTTTTACTACCGGTTTTGTGGGCTTGGCTTTTTTTTTTTTTTTTTTTTTTTTTTGCTTTAATTTATATGCCGCCCTTCTCCGGAGACTCAGGGCGGCTTACAATGCGTTAAGCAATAGCCTTCATACTTTTGTATATTTATACAAAGTCAGCTTATTGCCCCCACAATCTGGGTCCTCATTTCACCTACCTTTGAAAGGATGGAAGGCTGAGTCAACCTTGAGCCTGGTGAGATTTGAACTTGCAGTAATTGCAAGCAGCAGATGTTAATAACAGTGCTTTAGTCCACTGTACTACAGGCTCTTATTTTGTGGGTGTGGCTTGATGGTCATGTGACAATTATTTAGGATTTAGCAGAGGTACTGGTCTACCAGGCTTTTAACTGCTTGCAGAGCTGTACCGATCTACCCATTTATTTTTTGCAGGCACTGATCTACTCATGTATTTTTGCAGGCACTGATCTACTCATGTATTTTTGCAGGCACTGGTCTACTCATTTGTTTTCTTTTAACACTGATCAGCTGTAGGGCAGCCCTTTGAAGCCCCGGGGCAAGAGTTTAAACAGTTTTTTTCCCTCTAGCCATCAGCTGGGACTCAGGAGGCAGCAATAGATTGGGGGTGGGGGCAAATAAAAGGTAAGAATAATGCGGGGGTGGAGGGGCATCGGGGGCGGTGGGTCACGGGGGGTGGGGGGGCAGAACCGGTTCAGTGATGTCTATCGTCACCGCTACCGGCTCGGGAGAACCTGGCCGAACCGGGAGGAACCCACCACTGGTGGGGCCAGTCTGGAAATAGCAAAGGACTAGCCCGCTTCTTCTTGCTCTTCTAGCAAAAATGGGGCATGGGCAGGACACACTTCCCCCCTTTCCCCCAGCAACAGCTTTTGGCCTCCAGAATGGTCCAGGAGGTCTCCCAGGCCCAAAATGGGGCTTCCAGAGTACTGCAGGAGGACATCCTTGACTCAGAAGGTAGGGAGGAAAAGGAAAATATTTTACCTTTCAGGCTTCCAGGATTCTGCTACTACCCTATGTCAATAATTTATAGTTCTAGTCTTCCTATGGAGTCAGTTTCTTGATCTGGTCTCTCTCTCATAAGGTGATCAAATAGATCAAGTAAGTATTAAAAAACCAAAATCACAGAAATGTATGCCTAGCTATTTTTATAAGTTTATAAAACCATGTCTGCGAAGGTGCGGTTTCCTGTCACACCCACCATGGCCAAACCCACCATGGGCACCCCCACCCCCACCCCCGGCCCTCCAGGATCAAACCCAATCCTGATGTGGCCCTCAATGAAATTGAGTTCGACACCCCTGCTTTAGCAGTAGAGCTGCATGATACACTATCCCCCAATCTCAAGTCTCAGGAAGTGGAATTTATTGCAGGATTAAACAGCCAGACCCTGGGAACAGATGGGATATTTGTTGGCAGTGGGAGGAACATCTCAACTCCACCTCTGTGGCAGGAGAGGCCGACTCTTCTCTTGCTTCAGTAGCAGAAATTAAAGGGTGGAACGTGAACATTGTACCAGGCTGCAAAACTCCAAATGGTCGCGAGATGCCAATTAAGGGTTTAGTAGTCCATCTTTCTTTCTGCCACCTACTTGCCAGCCAGGTTTTTCCAGGTCAGGTATGGCATGCTTAATTCTCTCTTAATTCAGATGTTTCAGATCCAGACATGTGTATGAGTCTTTTCTGCATGTCATTTTGTTTCTGATCATACAACATCACCCTTTGCAAATTTTCCTCTGAAACTTATTCCAAACAGTTTGCCTCAGATCCCATTAGTGAAATTCACTTTCAATTTTATCTCAGACTGTGTCTAGCACTTGGCTTGTTTTCTCATTCAACACTCTAGGAATAATAAAGCATGTTTTTTTCTTTATAAGAAATAAAAAAAATATTTGATTTGATTTTACTTGTCTCTTTTAGGCAAATTTAAATTATGTGCTAGAGATTTAATGGCTTAATTATTCAAGTCTAACCATTATTTTCCTCCTGAGTAAAATGGTAAAATATGGGCTAGATCAGTATTTCCAAATTGTTCAAGACTTGAACAATGGGCCATATCCAACAAAATGAAATTTAACGTGGAGAAAAGCAAGGTTTTACATTTAGGCAGGAAAAACCAATGGTACAAGTACAGATTAGGCAAAACCTGGCTCAAAAACAGTAACTGTCAGAGGGACCTTCGAGTCCTAGTGGATGATCATTTAAATATGAGTCAACAGCCAAAAAAGTCAATACAATCCTTAGTTGTATAAACAGAGGCATAGAATCAAAATCTTGTGAAGTATTATGCTGCTTTATAAATACTGCATCCAGTTTTGTCAACACATTACAAAAAAGATATTGAGATTTTGGGAAAAGTGCAGAAAATATCAACTAACATGATTAAAGGTCTGGAGACTAACAAGTATGAAGAACAGTTGCAGGATTTGGGTATGGATAGTCTGGAGAACAGAAGGAACTAGAGGTGACATGGTAGCAGTGTTCCAATATTTGAGAAAAAACAGGGGGTCAACTTATTTTCCAAAGCACCAGAGGGCAGGATAAGAAACAATAAATAGAAACTAATCAAGGAGCAAAGAAACCTGGAATTAAGGAAAAACTTCCCAACAAGAACAATACCAATAAAAGAGAATATTTGTAGCTCAGGGTTGAACTGAGGAATCCTTGAGGTTCTCTGAGTTTGCTTGTTTTCTTGAAGATGTTTCTTTTTTCTTTTTCTTTTTAATTTTAAAAAACAAACTTTATTAAATTTAAAATTAACCCAGTGGAACAGCTTCCCTTCAGAAGTTGTGGGTGCTTCATCACTGGAGGATTTTAAGAAGAGAGTGGACAACCACTTGTCTGAAATAGTATAGGGTCTCCTGCTTGAGCGGGTGCTTGGACTAGACCTCCAAGGTTCCTTCCAGCTCTATTCTGAATTTGAATTTGAAAATTTTTCAAACTTGGCAACTTTAAGATGTGTGGACTTCAATTCCCAGAGTTCCGGAGTTGAATTCTGGGAGTTGAAGTCCACACATCTTAAAGTTGCCACGTTTGAAAAACACTGGGCAAGTGGCTAGGTGATATAGCTGCAAATGGAGTGGCTAACACTTTAGAAAAAGAGAAAGGCCCAAAATATCTACAATGTCAAGGCTCCAACTAATGAACCCAAGCAAATCAGAACTCTTCTTTATTTAGTACATCATATCGGCATAGCTTCAAAGGAAAATCAATTCTAAATATTTCCCGCGGTTTCAGTATAATTAAACTAGGAAATAACCCCATCCCCAAATATCACAGGTCATGTTGGCCAATTGGGTTAATTGGCAGGCACTCCTTTCCCAACCTTATCCATTGCTAGTAGAGATGACCTTGGTTCTCACAAGAAAGCTCTCTGTTGTGTCTAGTAAAGCATTCCAACCTCCTTCCCCCCTTCCTCCACTGTGTGGCAACTGAGGAACAGAAAGATGGCTGCAGCCAGATTTGGTTTGAAGTTGATAGTTGGCTCTCCCCCGCCCACTGAGTGCGACATATCTGGAAAATATCAAATGCAGACAGGTTAAATATTTTCTAGCCACCCCTGCTATCCCCCGACTGTCCTTTTGGCTTTTGGGGATTCCCTCATGGAATTTTCTGATCAGCCTATCTGCTCTTACGTTTTGACTCGTCACCCAAGTGACTTCCAAAAGGGGGTAACCCTTCCACTCTACTAAGTACTGTAACCTACTCTTATACAGTCTAGAGTCCAGGATTGTTTTCACTTTGTAATGGGTTTCTCCTTGTACTATGATGGGACCTGGGGCTCTCTAAGCTACTGGCCTTAGCTCTGAACCTATTATCAGCTTTAATAAACTACTGTGGAAAACGGGATGTATTTCCCCCGACAGGCATGGGAGTTTCAGCTCCACTGTGACTGGGTTAATGATTTTTACAATAGGAAAAAGTCCTATAAATTTAGGAGCCAGCTTTTTACATGGCAGGTTTAATTTTAAGTGTTTGGTGGAGATATAAACTTTCTCCCCTATGTGAAACTGCTTCTGGGGGGGATCACCTTTTGTCTGCTTGCTCCTTTTGCATCTCTGTGGCTTTGGTTAGTGCCCATTTTACATTCCCCCAAGCATCTTTCTTTGCAGAACCTGGACCCGGAGAGTGCTGGGGATGTACAACTTTGGGCCTTTCCATCTTGGGAGGTCAGGAGTTGTTGGTTGCCCCTGAACCAGGGGTCAGTTTGCAGCTTGGCTCTGAGTTTTCAAATTAGCTCTTCCTCCGACTCGCTCGATTGTCTCCGAGTCTGTTGCCTCATAGTGACTTGTGCTGCTTTCTGGGGGATGGAGATGATGGCATTAACCACTTCCTCACACTTACTCTTGTACTGGGGCATTCGGGACACAGCATCTACTAGGAAATTCTTTTCTCTGGAGATGCATTTCAACATGAAGTCAAACCGCAGGGGCCCCTTGGAGCCTGAACAACATTATTTTAAATTGGAAGCTGCCCAGTGGGCAGTTAAAAGTAGTCTTCCATTTGTCTCCCTCTTTGATTTTCACTCTGTAATACGCCTCCCTCAGGTCCAGCTTGGTGAAGATTTTCCCCTTTGCTAGATGGGCCAGCATGTCCTTCATTAAGGGGAGGGGGTACATGTTTCCCATACACCCCCCTGCTTTAGGTCCCAGATATCGGCTTCAGCCTGCAGGTCTTGGAATTCATCTTCAAATCTGGCTCTCAGCTCCCCCATGAAGGCTTCGATGTTCCCCAATTCTGGCATGTCTTCATCATGGAGTTTCATCTCCCCCTCCGTGGCTTCCCCCTCTAGGTTGGCAGCCATGGCATTCACTATCACCACATCTGATGGGTAGGCTGGGGCATAGCAGTCTAGATGGGCCCACACCTGGTTAAGGAAGAATGCCAATGCCCACATCAAATGTGGCCTTCATTGGTCTACCAGCTGTGGAGGGGGTGCCCATGGCCCAGGGAACCAGCTGGCCCCAGATAGCAAGGCCATGGTGGATGCCCATGCCATCCAGGAGGAGGCTGAGGTTGCCCTGCTGGACTTGCTGATCATTGCTGCTGGGGGGGGGCTCTGCCTTCGGTGTGGATTCACTGCTCCGGCTGGCTAGGGTGGTGGACTGGCTGCTTGGGCTGCTAGAGTTGGCCTTGTGCTCTGGCAGGTTGGAAGCAGTTGAGCTGGCCATGCTGCTGTCACCACAGATAACCCAGTTCAGTTCCACCCTTTGGATCTCCATGTGTCAAACCTCTCAGTCACTCCACAGATGGGCTGTGAAGGGCGGTCAGGTACTTCCATTCCCTGTGCACATCCCACTTGAATTCCTCTTCACCTTCCATCTCAGGACAAGAGTGCCAGCAATCGAGGGGATCTCAGGGGAAATTCCACTTCAGTGGCCTTTGGCACACATGAGCCTGGCTTCCCACTCTGCTCACTAGAGATCCTCAGTGGCTAGGGCATCCTCTTGCATCACTGGTCTTTCCGTCCTTTCCACACAGACCTTCAGCCTGGCTGCCAGTGGGAGGGCCGCCTCACCGGAGTGGCTCGCCTGCTGCGCAGCCCCAGCTGGGGCAGTGCTAGGGTTAGCAGTCGCTTCCTCCGTCTTCTCCATCTCCGATTTTCCCTGAGTCTTTTCCACCCCTCTGGTGGTGTTGGATGGGTGGCCAGGGCTCAGGACCCCAGGGTTGTTTTAGGAGAATTGGTTTAATGTCTGACTAATGAACCCAAGCAAATCAGAACTCTGAGACTGAACTCCTTCTCAAAGGTCTTCTTTATTGAGTACATCATATCAGCATAGCTTCAAAGGAAAACCAATTCTAAATCTTTCCCACAGTTTCATTATAATTAAATTAGGAAGTAACCCCATCCCCAAGTTTCACAGGTCATGTTGGTCAATTGGGTTAATTGGCGGGCTCTCCAGGCACTCCTTTCCCAACCTTATCTGTTGCTAGTAGAGATGGCATTGGTTCTCACAAGAACATTCTCCGTTGTGTCTAGTAAGGCATTCCAACCTCCTTCCCCGCTTCCCCCACTGTATGGCAACTGTGAAACAGAAAGATGGCTACTGCCAGGTTTGGTTTGAAGTTGACACACACATGGTTGAAGGGCCAAAATGTACTGAATCAAATTTAAGAGAGAGAGAAATTAACAGATCTGTATCTGGCATGATATAGGATGGGAGCAACCTTACATGGCAGTAATGGATGTAAGAAGCATCCTGATTAGCTAAAAATAAGAGGCAGTTGTTAAAAGTAAAGTTTGGGTGCATATTAGTAACAGCATAGATACTATGTCCAATTTTGTCAAACAGAACAAGGAGAAACTGGAAGAAGCTCAGAAAGGGCTACCAAGATGATGAGAAGACTGGCATCAAGTTCTATGAGACTTGGGTGGGTATAATTTTAATTCCTCCAATTTATTAACATCTCTTTAATATATGATTCTTTGTCCTTCAATATTAGTTTGAAACACTCTTTAGTATTTCTGTAATAAACAATTCTTTCTATTGACTTTGACTCTGGTCTTTTAGGATACAGTATCAGATTTTCCTTAAGTACCCATAGTTCAACATTACAAAATTATACATATTTTGTTCAGTTTACACATATTAATGCAGAAACATATACGTACATGAACAGTTAGGAAAGTAGGATGTTTTACTATTCATAGTTTTTCTTAATACCAAGAAGTAGCCAACCACTATTTTACAAATGAAAATTTTTATAGAAAAATTAAATCATTTTAAAGAAAAGATATTTTTCTTTTTAACCTTATACAGACATTTATTTAATGGTTATCTAATATTACCCTATGAATCTATGCCTTCCACTACTCTCATGTCCAGTACCAAATTCTTTTTTTAGCAACTCCTTTTTCAGTTGGGATTTCATTGGGATTCATCATGGCGGCAACGGAGGAAGCATAGTTACATCACAGGGAGTTAAAAGAAGAGAAAACTTTCTACTAAAGTAAGATAAATGATAGGAGGAGAGGTGGGGAGGGAAAGACAAATCATAGAATAAATCATAGAGAAAAAAGGAAAAGGAGAGGAAAGACTGAAGAAATAGGAGGAAAACGATCCACAGCGAACTTGGCCTGCTGAGGGAAGCCCAGCTGCACCCGAGAGGCCTTCCCAAGAGCACAGAGGCCCATTGAAGCAAGGTGAGCGGAGAGGCAAAACACACCGGCAAAGAACAAGGAGGCAAGCCAGTGAGCGTGTGGGGCCCGCTGTGGAGCAGGGAGTGTAGGGAAACAATAATAAAGATAGAATATAAAATACTGATATACTAGATTTAGTAAAAGCTTGTTATTCTGTAATCATTAGGTTCCTGTAACATATATATTGTGCTTTTGTATCACATGTATTATTCCTTTCTATTTGTATCTCCTGTTACAAACATATTGTCATTAGGAAAATGGAGCGTGGAAAGCAAAGGGGGAGCATCGGTGCAACTGGAGGCTGCTGCTGTTGGTGGAGCATTTCAGCACAGCGGATTAGTGAACCGGTGACTGAAAACAACAACAGGACAGCGTGGGAGACCAACAGGTGAGGGAGGGTGGACTGAGAAAAGCAGGGAGAGCTGAATACCCGATAGTGGCAGGAGAAAAACAAGTAGGAAGGGAGGATAAAAAGACAACACAGGATACAAGGCAAAAGAAAATCAAAGGCAAGTAGACAATAGCAAGTACAGAACATGTAAAGGCAGAGAAGTAAGAGATAAATCAAGCCCACAAGAAAGCAGGGAGGAAAGGGTTCACAAGAAGGAAGGGACAATCAAAGAACATTCCAGTACAGGCTAAGAATGAACCTCACACTTAAGCCCACTCAACGCTAAAAAAAATTTAAATTGGATAATCTAAATGATCTGTTAGACCCTTAAAATTTTAAACTAGACAATTTGAACTGTAGAACTTTAAATCCTTAAACTAGGCATTCTTTAAATGTTAGAACCTTAAACTTTAGCTAGACTTGAGTCCCACAAATTTTAAATTTTAAATGATCTGTTAGAACATCAGTATCCCAAATTGTATCCTTTTTAAAAATCTGTGGAAAAACCCTCTATACTTTCATTCTCAATTTTTTGTAAACCCACTCATGGAAGAAGAAACTGATACTATTGTGATCTGCAGAACCAGTGGTGGATTTCAAAATTTTTTACTACCGGTTCTGGCTTGGTGGGTGTGGCAGGGAAAAGATACTGTAAAATCTCCATTCCCACCCTACTCCAGGGGAAGGTTACTGCAAAATCCCTATTTCCTCCTGATCAGCTGGGACTTGTGGGCAGAGAATAGATGGGGACAGGGCCAGTTAGAATTTTTACTACCGGTTCTCCGAACTACTCACAATTTCTGCTACCGGTTCTCCAGAACTGGTCAGAACCTGTTGAAACCCACCTCTGTGCAGAAAATGTTCCACTTATATACATACAAGTATGTATATACTTATGCCCATAGAATACCCAAACTACATATGTACCAAATGTAAATTAATCAAGTTCTAGAAGAAAAAGTAAGGGTCTAGAGGAAACTC